ATAGAAGATTGAACGCGCGTTTTTTGCGCGCTGTTTGTCCCCGCCAAACAGTGACCGTGACCGCGCTGTCCGAGAAGGCCGGCAGTGGCACGGTCTGCAGTGCTGATGTGGCCCAGCGAGACCGCGCCGTTCATGACAGCTCGAAGAGGTGGAATACTAGCCCTATGAGTAAAAATCAGACATAAGTTAACACACATATTTTGGGCACCCCTTACAGTGCTGCTCCCGACTTGTGATTGAGCTGTTTGCTCCGGAATCTGGGAGTGGCTACTCAAGACTTGGCACCAAAAGTGCAGTATGCAGCTTTGCATGCTCACTATCATATAAAGCTCTCCACTGCAGTGGCTGAATTTTATTGTTCAATATTTACAAAGGTATATAAATGTTCCTGACTGAGCATGGGCAGCAGACTGCAGGAACACAGCTCGCCACACACAGGGCCACTCTCGGTCCTCTCGGTCCACGACCGTCACGGTCACTGTTTGGCGGGAACAAACAGCGCGCAAAAAACGCGCGTTCAATCTTCTATGCAAACGGCAGTAAGGTAAGGTAAGGAATTCAGAGTGCAAAACCAGGCTCTTGCCCAGCCGTCCGTAGAGGTTGAGCTCAAACAGAAAGGCGGTGGGTATGTATCAAAAACGGACGGAATGGTGTGAGGGTCATTTTTCAAATAGAATGATTGACATATCTAAGAATAGAGACCATGCGAGAGCCACACGAGAACCACGCGAAACCCACGAGCCCACCCACAACTTCACCACTCAACCTCTACGGACGGCTCAAGAGGTGTGCGGAATTGCAATCCCGGACATGGGAAGGTCTTCGGCTATTTGATTCCCACGGGGGGGAGGTTGTCGTAACGTTGCCCTAAAAGGCAGCTTCGCGCAATGCGAGCGGCGGGGCAGACGCGCATGAAGTCGAGTGGCACTGCGATGTTTGTAAGTCTGGAGAGCCACTCATGAGCATTTCAGCTCATTTAACTTCTCAGAACCAATTTATTTTGATGTAAGACACCAACGTTGAAGTCCTAGAAGGATATTTCTGCATGAAGCAATGGTTAGATCACAGAACGGCGCGGGCCACATTGACGCTCTCGGATCGGCCACGCAGCCCAAAATGGTAATTCAGAAGGAGCCGAGGCATGTTTACGACAACCCCCCTCGTGAGAATCCAGTAGCCGAATGTCCGAGCTGTGTGCCCGATTCCAATTCCGCACACCTCTTGGGACGGCTGGAACAAAACATTGAACCAAACAAACGCCACAGGTCCGCGAGACCTTCGAGCTACTCCCACGGTCCTCCCACTTCTCGTGCAATACCCTTTGTAGAGTGGGATTTGGCCGTGTGGGCCTTTCTGCCTGAGCTCTATTCCATCTAGTAGTATGATTGTGTGTCTTACGCACTGTGTCAGATTCGGGCTGTAAGAAGAAGCGAGGACGAGTGAGAAAAATAGTGTGTCCCTCTTGAACCTCAAGTTGGTGTGTACGCAGCATACAGTAAGTACTTATGTTACTCCAATATGATTTGGGACATGCAATTATGCATGTTGGTCGTGGAACACGCGCTTTGTGAAATGCGGGCTGTAAGGAGCGAGAACGAGTGCGGACGGTTGTGCGAGGTCACTTCAGTCGGTGCGCATGTCAGCCGGGCGCGGGAGGGTGGGATATATATAACTGGTTGTCTTGGGGAAGTACAAGCACTTGGCCGAGTTGGTTCAACGCTCCATTTTTTGGCTTTCGTCTTCGAGGGCCTTTTGCAACTCACGCTCATGTTTTATCGAAAGGACGAACAAGCTTGGACTTTATATCAGTCAAAAAGTTGTCAAAGAGCGTACACACAACGACCAACTGTGAAAAGTGGGCCTCGAAGCAATACAGAGAATTTTCAACTGCTTGGACCAGCCAAAGTAAGTAAGACAATGAGCACTGATTTCATTATCTTAGTCTGAGCTGGCTGCCACCGGCATATTTATATAGCAAAAGACATCACACAATGTGCACATAAAACAGAGACAAAACATATCTGTGTCATAAGATGAAAGGCCTATGGAGGACCCATGAGCGCATGAGCTCACGGATTTCTCGAGCCCAAGTCCAGAGTCAAGAAAAGGAGCGTTAAACCAACTCGGCCAAGTGGTCATACTTTCCTAAGACAGCCAGTTATATATATCCCACCCTCCCGCGCCCGGCTGACATGCGCACCGACTGAAGTGACCTCGCACAACTGTCCGCACTCGTTCTCGCTCCTTACAGCCCGCATTTTACAAAGCGCGTGTTCCACAACTAATATGTATAATTGCATGTATCAAATCATATTGGGGTACCATTTGTACTTATGCTGCGTACACACCAAGAGGAACAGCCGCATAATTGAGTTGAGACTAGCGCCGTGCTGTGATCGAGGTGACAGGGACCGTGGGAGGCCATGGAGGACCATGGACCGAGGTGGCGTTTGTTTGGTTCAATGTTTTGTTGCAGCCGCCCGGAGGAGTTGAGCGGTTTGAAGTTTGTGTGGGGAACGTGGTGTTTGCGTGGCATCTGCGTGGTATTTGCGTGGCATCTGCGTGGTGTCTATTTATGTATCTGTCTATTTATTCTTGGATCCATCAGTCCGGATTTATCCTGCACTCGTGAAGTAGAATCTCTCAAGTATCTGTCAATTCTACGCTATCGAGCTCAACTCCTCCGGGCGGCTGTGAAGGAGCCTGGTGCAAAACGGTCCCGCACGGAACAACACTCCTATCCGCAGCACGTACTTGCACCATCATGATGGTACTACGGAAACCCTGGTACGGTGGTGACTCGGATGGCGCCAGCAGAGTTGCCAATCAGCTGTAGGGCTACTCGAAATGGGTCCCCAGCTCACAACCACTACGGAGGTCGCCGCGGGTGAAAGTCACCGGAAAATCAACCGGGTTTTAGGTGGTTTTCGACGTTAGAGTGGTCGATCTTCACCCTGTCGCGGCTCGACAGGGTGATCTTCGATGTCGCAGGAGGTGAACAAAGACGGTGAAGATAACCCCGCCTATGCTCCTTTTCACCAGTTCAGTTTCGTGCTGTGAGAGGTTGATTTCCCACCTACTATGGGGTGATCTTCGACTTCTGGTAATTGGACACTTCCACCTCTTTTGAAATGTTGAATAAAACCCTTTCGTTGTCCCTCTGCTTGCATTGGATAATCGAATGGGTTGTATTTTATTCCAATAGATGGGCATCTTCCCAGCCCCAAGCGAGCTCAGACAGGTGGATATGGTAAACAATATGACATTTATATAGCCTAGGTTATTACAGTATCATACAGTACATGAAGGCACAAGGACCGGCAGCAGTACCGACAACAGAAGAAAGAAGCATATGAAAAGCTATAGATGACACTCACCCAGAAGCG